AAGGGGCGCGGCGAGCAATTGGTGCGGGATGTTGGGGCTGGACGAATGGACCCGCGGGCTGCAGCCTGAACACGTTGCGTGACAAGGAGTAGCGTACTACCGAAGCCACTTCACCACTCCCGGCCGCGTTGCTCCCGGCCGCACCGCCCCGCACGCTGCCGCGGCCACGCCCTCGCGAACCCCCCACCGATCGCTGCGCGCCAGCCGCGGCGTCACCCTGCGCCCTACGCCCTGCAGCCCATCACCTCGCTCATGTTGAGGGCGAGCGCCGCCTCCACCGCCGCCGCGTCCTCAAACACAACGTAGCCGTGCGCCCCGCCGCGCCCCGCGTCCACCGCGCCCTTCGCGATCGCGACGCGCCGCGGCAGCTTCTTGTCGAGCGCCACCGGCACGCTGCGCAGCCGCACGCTCTCAACGGCGCCGTGCCGCTCGAAGAGGCGCAACAGCTGCTTGCGGGCCGTGGCGACGGGCAGGTTGCCCACGAACACGGTGCGCTGCAGCTTGTCCGCGTCTGCCGCCGCTCTGGCCGCCGCAGCTGCCGCCTTATCCTCCTCTGTGGTGGGGCCCGCGCCCTTGCCGCCGCCGCCATCGGCATCCTCCTCGTCGCTGCTGGCAGAAGGGCCGCCGCCGTCGCCGTCCCTGTCGCTGTCGAGCGTAGGCTCTTCAGCTACCGTGGATGCTGCTGCCAATGCAGCCGCAGCGTCCTTCGCGGCTTGCTTGCTGCTGCGTTCCTTCTCTTTCTTCCGCTTCTTGTCATGCTCCTGCCTTCCTGGCTTTTTCTCTTCCTGCTTCTGCTGTTTCTGCTGCTGCTGCTGTTGCTGCTGCTGCTGCTTGCGACCATTTCCTGTGTCCACTTTTGCTTTGTGCTGCTTCTTGCCTGCTACATGCTGCCCTTGCTGCCCGTTTGGTTGCTGCGTAGCCGCTGGCGGCTCCGTCGAAAGTGGCACAACCTTCGCACTCTCAACATCCTTGGCCTGCTTGTGCTTCTTCCCTGGCCGCTCGTGCTGCTGCTGTCGCTGCTCATGCTGATGCTGAGGTACAGCTGCAGTCGGGGCCTCAGCGGCCGCCGCGGCTCTACGCCGCTTGCCGCTGCCGGGCTCCTGTGCCGCCGCTGCTGCCGCCGCTGCAATGGTGCTCGCTGCCGCCTTGACAGCTCCCTCCTTGCGTTTGTTCTTCGTACTATGTGGCTCGTCCTCGCTATGACCGCTCGCCTTGAACTTGCTTTTCTCAGAGAACAGCCCGCCGTCCGCGGGCTGCCCATTGAACAGGCCGCCAAAAAGAGACATTTTCGCGTTGCCAGCGCACGTGCCGTATCAGGTCAGCGTGATCTGAGGGGGAGCATGCAACCTTTCTGGACGAGGAAGCAAGCTAAATGTATCTGAACCGCGAAGTCATGTCAGCCGAACAAAAGCAACTCAATGTATGCATACCGGTACTGTATGCACAACGCATTCGGAGTTTGACCATCAAGGCACACAGAGGTCAAACAGGGTTTGAATTCTGGTGGCATGCTCGGCTTTACAAGAGTCAGCCCAGCTTGATTATCTGAAAAACTTCTTCCCCTGTTCATTGCCGCTTGCATCACGTGTTCCAAGGCTCTGATCATCCACATCTGAGGGGGGCCCCGCCACCCCCAACCTCACGTCACTCGCCCTGCACCCGCCCCGCGGATGTTCTTGCGGCTTGGGCGCCCAAGGCCATGCTACATGGCCATCCGAAGCACACGCACCATACTTCCCCCCTCCATTCATTGAACCACGTTCTTCACACAACTTACACGACTGCCAATACCAACACCCAAAGCACGTGGTATCAACTTCAAAGCACTACAACTCAGCCGCAAGTGGGGAAACGCACACACTGAAGCAGCCGCAATACAGACACTGCCCAACGGCGGGCTAAGCGTCCCTTGAAAAGGGTTTGTGGGCATCCTGCACATACGTCGGGAGAATGGGTTGTGCACAAGCCCCTTGCGATATATCAGCAAGAAAGCGTCTGATGAGCAACTGCTGTGTGTCTTGGAACAGATGGCTGCCTTGGGATGGAGGGTGCTCTAGGGGCAGGAACACACAACTACTGTGCAGTGGAACGATCTAAAGGACGACGCCGTGGCGAGCGCCCTGCATGTTATGGTGCGGAGTTGTAAATATGCTGGTGTTTTTGCCAAATGCTTGCCTACTCAAAAGATACTCAAATCACACGCTTTTCGTAGCTGCCCAAGCGGCCCTGATGATTTGCAGCGCACTCTCATGAAAAGCGGTAGCCGTTGCGCGCAATGGAAGCATGCGCTTGGCCATAATGACTCCTGGGTGCTCGTCCATCGCCAAACAACATTGATTCCTGCACACGTTTGCGATCGCCGCAACCGCCGACCAGCTTGCCAGGGCAGCTGCGCCCTCCTGAACCACAGGAAGCCGCTGTGCAGCTGCCATGGGGGCACCAGGACAGCCCGCTTGGCTGCACCTGTCTCTATCTAGGCAACCCCAAAATGAACCGAAGTGATCGGCCACAAATCAACCCAGACGCGCGAGGCGCACGCCCGCCAGCAGAAGCAACAGTCCCTCGATGCAACGTGTCGCAGTTGGCGTGCAAAGCGTGCGCATGCACGGCGCTTCAGCCACCTGCAGCAGCTGCACTGCATACCCAGCACGCTTGAGGGTATCCAGGTGTGCAAACTGCAACAGCGCCATATGCCAAATTGCGCAAAACAGCATTCATACAGAGAGAGACATGGGCGTGGCCGCTGCTGCAACCGCACCCGCCAGTCTTGGGGGGATGGGCTGGCGCGCGGCGCACGTAATAAGGGAGGGCGGCTCTCCCTGGAGCGTGCCTGCAGGATACGCGAAGCAGCTTCCAGGCAGCTTCTCCCTTGCACAGGCATACCTCGCTTCTTCAGCAGCGGTACTGCCTGGGGGCGGTGGAGTGTCCAGCAGGCAGGCGACCGTCTTTGACAGGCCAAGCAGTTGAGGCAAAAGTGGCACACGAGATGGGTTCCAGGAGCGACGGCTCGATTTGCCAACACGGAAGCGGGTGGCCGCACCATAATAGGCGTCGCCGCTGTCCCTGGTGCGCCGAGTGGGCACCCGGCGGACAGGTGGCGCCCCCGACCGAGAGAAATTGTTGTGTGGCGCGGGGGCGCGATACTAGGTGATGCACCGCGGCGCCCTGCCCTCTGCTATCCAGCTGGCGGGTGGAACGAGGCTGGCAAGGGCCGAAGAGCCCAGCTGCAGCCGCGCCGCTCGCACGCCGCCGCAACTGGGCGACGCCGGCCAGTATTGACGCAAGCAACTCAAACAGTCGCACAACATTGTCGAAAGACGCTGCGGCGCGCCATAAAATACGCCCGTGTGCGCCCGTGGCGGGGCGTGCGAGTAGCAGAGGCCCCCAACAAAGTGCCGTGTGGGTTCTTTCGTGACAACTCCTGAGGCAAACAGGGGCGGAGGAGAATAGGGCCACCAACCAAAGCACGTGTATGTGCGAGGTAATCCACCTGCGCTGAGGCTAGTAATAGGAAAGCGCCCTGCAGCCGCTGACAGCTAGCTGGGGGCAGGCAGCAGGCGGAATGACGCAACCGATAGATGCGACGGTATGCATGTGGAACGACGGCCTCGCTCACTGCCATCGGCAGGGCCACGTCCCAAGCTGCAGCGCCTGCTGCTTCGTGGCACATGCGCACCGCGCCAATGCGTTCGTGGCCACTCATGCGTTCGTGCGGGGCGCGTCGGCGGGCGGCGACGCCGCGGCGGAGCCGCGGGGGCCCTCACCCAGCTGGCACTGGCCCTGGCTTTGGCCCTGGCCCAAGGTGAGCGCTTGCAGGAGGTCTTGGATCGGGTCACCAGACGCCAACAGCCCCGGCCCCGCGGGCGGCTCCGCCGCCCCGCTGCCGCCGAACGCCGCCTGCTGCTGCGGCATGGGCTGCAGGCTGGGCGTCGGCACCGCCGCCGCCGCCAATGGCGAAGGGGCCTGGCCGGCGATGCCGGCGGCGCCCCAAAGCGTGGCCCCGGGGGATGAGCAAATGGCGAAACCAGGGATACCGCCCTGCTGCATCAGCGCCGTGCCGGTGCCGGAAGGAGTGCCGATTGCGCCCAGCGGCTGAGCAAACACCCTAGCACTGCCGCCGCCCATGCTGCCCTGCGTGGTCGTTCCCACATGGCCGGCTCCGCCGCCGGCTGCGGCCGCGTCCCAGGCTGCTAGGGGGTTGACGAGCGGGCCTGAGCCGGCGCCAGAGAGGGGGGCGTCGAAACTGCCTGAGCTGCCGCCCGCGCCGCTGCCGAAGCTGCTGCGGCCGCCGATGCGGCCGCCGCCGGCGGAGGCCGGGGAGTAGAGACCCGCAGCCGCGGCAGCCGCGCCTGCGCTGGCGGCGGCGGGCGAGGCTTGGGGCAGCATGGGCAGCATTGCGCCGCCGCCGGCGCGGTGCGCCGACGCGGCGCCGCTGAGCGCTAGCATGTTGGGGAGGGGAGAGGGGCACTCGGCTGCGCCGAGGGGGCGCTGTGTGCTGGGCAGGATGGCGGCTGGCATGGGCGACAGGTGGGCAGGGCTGGCCGCCAATGGTAGGGCAAACTGGTGCGAATAAGGGTCCTGGAATTGCGCGTTGAGGAATGCAAGGGTTGTGAGGGCGTTGATATGGCGTTGAGGCGTGACAATAGCCTGGGGGCTTCGTAAAGTGGGGGTAGGGGGTTCTCAGTTGCGAGGGGCCGTGTTGCTGGTTGAGGGTGTGGTCGTCTGCTGGGGAGTGCCGTCCTGTGCATAGCGTGCAGCCAGCGGAGGCGCTTTGGGTCGGCCAACAGGCAACCAAAGGGTGTGATTGACGCTGCTTGCACCCACTGAGCGAGGCAACCACGCGGGTCTGAGACGATCGGGTCCAAGACCAGCCTGTCACTAATCGCTCTCGGCTACTGCAGCCCCATCTCTCAAGTCCCTGCCGGCGCACCTGACCCTGGCTCATCGCGCCGAGGAGCCCCGCAATCTCTGAGGGCCCCAGCCCCAGCCCCATCGCTGCGGCCGCGGCCCCCCCGCTGCCGCTGCTCCCACCGCCGAGGACGCTCATCAGCGCGTCCGCGTTCGCGCCGCCATACACGCTGCCGCCAACACCGCCGCCGAGCGCGGCGGCCGCGGCGGCGGGGGAGGCGAAGTGTGAGGGGTCTATGGAGATCTGCTGGAGCATCTGGGGCGAGCCACCCACGGCAGTGCCGGGCGCAGGGGTCCCAAAGTCATAGC